CGCGTTTGAATGAAACAAGTGGAGGTTGCGAAAAGAAAGTGCCAGTCTCTGAATCACTTCTTCTAGAATGATGGATTCAACTGCGTGGTTTTGGGGTTGAAATGTGAAAGTGAATGAAATACGTTCGAAATTTTCCTTATCGCTGTAGGGTTGCTCGTGATGAACAGTTCAATGAAGCTTTCTGTGCCTCGTTGATATTCTAATTCTCGATTATCCGGACTGTCTCGTCTGGTCCCAATGAGTCCAAAAATTCGAGGTTCGACTGTAATCGCAGTGAGGGGAGGACCATCGATGGAAGCAACAGAAGTAACTATAGTTAACCAGCTGACATTTTTTTCTACGACTGACGCAAAAGCAAAATCATATTCTTTAAAACAAACTTCTGAAGAGTTTTTGTCCATCAATAATCGAATCTGTAAATCGGCAAATTCTCGAGTTTTCCAAAAATACTGGATTTATCGCCAGTCGTGTGGCGGCTGTGTCGGTTTCCTGCTAAAGAAGTGGAGCAGGAAAATGAGTCGGAAACCAACCATGGAACGAGTACTTGAGACAACCTTTCTTGTCCTTTTTCCCTCTGTAACTTAGATGGAAGCATCAAAGTCTTAATATGGTTGTGTGGTGTGCGGAAGGAAGTTGAAATGGAGTGATTTTCCAAGCGCAAAACGAGTTCGAGTCTTAAATGACTGTTTGGGCGATGTACACGATGTTATTTGTGAATGATGCAGGAGGCCTGTTGAGGAGCGCAGACGTATTGGAAAGTAATTTCATTGTATCATTGCTATCTCATGCTATCGTTGAACATTTAAAGTACTCCCTTTCCTTTAATCGTTTGTAGAACTTCAATTGCCGGTGCAATGTACTCGCAATTTCAGCGAAAAATAAAAGTCAACGCAGGTTAATGTTTTGGTTCAAAAATTTTTTGACATTGATCATAACCGGCGGGACCAATTATCGAAACACAAAAGGTCAATGTCGAGTAGAGAAAAGTAAGATAACGTTAGCACCAGAGGTGTGGTCGTTATATCTATGGAGAAATGGGAGAGTAGTCTCGGAAACATCATCACATAATCTTCCACTTAATAGACTGCGATAATCACATAATTCGCCGTTATCTGATACGCCTCATCACTGAGATATGGTTTATGAAGTGACAAATTTCATGAAAATGTGTATACTTTAATTCCAGCAAACAACCCCTAAACCTCAACAGATGAGAACTGCATCGTGATTAGAGAGATGTGTCCAAAAAAAGAAAGACTAGCCTGTTGCCTTTGACGTTTTTAATAAAAAAAATTACGGCGTCTGAAAATACACATCCTCAAAGGAGTTCAGTCGTTGCCACTGGAAATGGAAATTCTTTTTATTGAGCTGTTGCTCTTCGGAGGAATGAAAAAAAAGCGATGAGAAACAAGAAAAACTCCTTTGGTATTACACATGCTGCCAATTCCTTTGTGATTTTTGTATTCAGGGTCACCCTCGAGGGTGTAGCACGAGCTTAAATGGTCTGGTGCCTCTTGAAGAGGTAAAAAACATGGGATTCGTTGTTGTGACAAAACCCAGATTTTGCCAGGAACATGACCGGGAGTTATTAAGGCTGTTTTGTGGAACATGCAAAATAGCTATCTGCAGAGACTGTACAATTAAGGAGCATCTAGAACACAAGTAGACTTAAGTCAAAGACGCTTTTGCAAAGAAGAAGGAAAGGATATCGAAAATTCTCTCATAGACAAAAGGAAAAGCAGGGTTACTAAAGGAGTTGATGGAGTTTCAGAGAGGAGTAGAAGTGGTGCACTGCATGCAGAACAGACTGTTCAAGGAGTTATTGACTGTTTTCAGAATTTTAATCAATTTATCTGAATGAAGTCTCTAAAAGTCCAACAAGAGGGAATGGTTGCAGCCTTTCATAGTGTGCTTAGGGGTGTAAAATTCACTGAGAAGGCTTTGGAAAATGGCAGTGAAGTAGAGATTTTAAATAATTATCATAATGCAAATGTTACACAGACTGCGAAACCTAAATTCAGAAACAAAGTGGGGTAAGTTTCTAAAGAAAATGTGGTGCTGAGTCGGTAGGGGTTACAAGGTAATTCGGTTTTATCAACTAAGTTAAGAACGTAAATTGGCCACTGTTGAGTTCAAAAGCTAATGTATCGAGCGTTAGCCCCTCGTCAGAGCCGAGCAAATGACGAATACCTAACGCTCGGAACATCAGTTTTAAACTCTTTACGATGGCCAATTTACATTGATCAACTTATATTAGTTGAATAAACCAAATCAGTAAGAGTCGAACGAGTACGCTGGCGTACAATTCTATGCCTTTTAAAAAGGGTATACTAAAACGTCAGTAACACGATTTTCAACGTCCGAGGGAACGAAACAATGCAAATATTACAGCACTCAGCCTTGAAACATAATTACTCTGTCTTCCCCACCCAAGCACTCAACCATAACGGTAGATTAAGGGGGAGGGGAGAGGAGGGGCCAATATTGAGTGTTCGTTGAGGATATCCAAATAGCGGCCTCACGATCCATACAGGCTGCCAGCTCTAGTGGAGTGCTAGTGTAAAAATGTAATGATTGGCGTTATATTGGGCCACATATCCAGGTAAGAAAACGCAAACAGTACGTGCAAGGCCAATTTTTTAAGTACGTACCTCTTAAGTGCTGTAGAGTATTAAATTTGCAACAAGCACCCCGGGACGCGCAGGCATCGCCATCATAAACATTTCACAAACTTTAATTTACTTGGTTTTCCTACTGAATTGTGGTAGCATAACAATACAAGTAGTGTATTAAGCTGTTCTCTGTTCTATGGTTCTCTGTGCAACAGGAAGTTTATTTGGGATACTATATTGTATGAAATTGTGTCAAAAAGATATAACACATAGAGTAATTGACAAATTTAACACTGAATCTGTTTAATATTTTTTATCTTCTTTTTATATCTCAAAATAAACGTCCTAAAGTTAGTTAATTAATTAATTTTTGGGTTGTTCTTCCAAAAAAAAAAATTAATGTTGTCAACTTCACTGTCGATGTCATTGTAATTTATGCTGGTAATAATCTTTCTTAACTGTAACTAAAGCAAGATGATGCTAATCATCCTTACCTATGCTAAGAATATTAACAGAGGGAAACGCAAATTTTGAGTCATTCAAGCAATTTACCTTTCCGACGAAGGGCTAACGCTCGAAACGTCAGCTTTTGTAATCGTTACGGTGGCCAATTTACCATTTCAACTGTGTTGATATATCCAAATTATTTCGTTACTCCCACCGACGCAGCCCCAAACAGTTTCTTTCGAAACTATCAGCCTTTATACCTTTCAAATGGCTTGTCTCAAAAACAGGAGACATATAGTCCCTTGTAAACACTGTTTGCCTCCTTTTCTGAGTGTATTGTATTGTATTGGTAAGACAGTCCCCAGGAAAACGTTGAAAGGTTTGCAGCAATGCTATACACCGAATGCAAATATCGCGTCCAATTTGAATTGCCATTGTTCTGGACTCACTAGTCTCGTCTTTGCGTGGAAACACGAAAGGATTATTACATGTGTGAGAGGCTAGTGAGTCCAGAGCAATGGCAACTCAAATTGGATGCCATATTTGCATTTGGTGTCTGCTTTCAAAAATCTGACCACCGGTAGGCCACAGGGTAGGCCATAGGGTAGGCCATGGCCTTTTAGGGCTCAAATAAAGCCCCCTTTCGGTTGTCGTTTAGGACAAGTAAGACTACTGACTTGGGCAAGTAACTTTCTCTGCCTGCTAAATGCTTGCAAGGCAAGCAACTCAGGAAATTGACCATTCATTTGAGTCAAATAAAAAGATTCTAAGTCAGTTAAAAGCTCTCATGAGTCAAAAGGTTACGTTGCATGATTTAAAAAGGTCATACATTAAATTTAATTGAAAGTGATGCCAGACATGTTTATTTCAATCTTGGCAATTATATTGGTTTATATAATAGTCTGGTAAACTTTCTTTCAAAAGTTGATTATTAAACAGCTTGGGTATCATGCCTTTGTATATCCTGTATCCTGCAGTTTTAGGCTTGATTTTATCTCATCTATAGTTAGTGTTTAATTGGTTTCCATCTTTTCTCCTTCTCATGAATAATTCAATTAGTTCAAACTTATGGAAAAATGACCCAGGCATGTTCAAGTTGGGATTCAAACTTTTTCCAAGCTCTAATTGACTGTATGATACTTTAACCCTTGCATTGCCAAGATTTCATTAAAAAATTCTCTTTGCTGTCTGCTGTATAATTCTTATGATGTTCCTTTCGGAATTTGTGCTGGAACAACTTGTAGAATCACAGACGCACGCAAAGGTCTTTCAAAATCGCGAGATTTTGGACACTTTTACGGACACATGAATGAACAGAAAAAGATTTGACCAGTGACTTCTAAACAAAGCTGTTTTCCCGCTCGCTTCTTTTTGATCCACGGTAAAATTCAGCAATGCTGAGTGATTACAGTAAAAATGGATGCCGTTTATCCCTTTAAACCCTAAGAGAGACTAGGATCTAAATTCTCCTTACAATATCAGCCTTGAATCCCACACTTAGGTCAGGAGAATAAAGAAAATGATCGCCAACTAAAAAGTCTCTTGAATGTTGACCAAATTCTCCTTATAATAATAATAATAATAATAATAATAATAATAATAATAATAATAACTTTTATTTGTATAGCGCTCATATCTTAAATTCATGGTGCTTTACAACACTGTACGGGGGACTTTACCAGACTGCTAAGCAGTTTACAATCAAATAAAGGCGAATATAACAGATACCTCCTCCCCCCAATTCCCAGTAAACAGGCCAGACTACATCACAGTAATCTCGTGAAGTGGGTTCTTTAACGTCCTCTGCCTAACAAAATCAACACCTTGTCAACACCTTGTGAAATGTGTGAAGAACAGTATGGAGAATATGTATAATGATCTGAGGGTGTAAAGGGTTATTCATTTAGCTGAGATGTGATAACTATGCTTTTGTTTGGAGTGTCTTAGTACAAAACCTTTATTTGATCTACAAGCTATAAAACAACATACACATCTAGTTTGATAGTAAGGTATAATTTGCCGTAAAAAACTGAAACTGAGCCTACATTGTCACAAACTATATCGAAATTTGTTGCCCCAAACAAACATCGTTACCAGGACTTCTCTTTTGACTTCGCCTGAGAGCAAGAGAGAGAAGAAGAAGGGCAGAGACCGTGGGAATGAGGCTGACTGAAATCCCAGAAGGGAAAGCTATACTAATCAAAGTTTTTAACGCTCACCTCCGAGAGTTGAGGTCGTTTAATGTGGGAGATTGGCTCAAAAATACACCCACAGTTGAGAGAACATGCATATCCAGGTACAAATAAATATAAGCTAGAACAAGAATGACCTTGAACTAAGAATATCTGAAACAGTTCCCGCGCTATTTACACAATCTACCGCTAAAATCATGTCGACATCCAATATTCAAAATGGAAAAGAGTTGATGGTGGTTTCATGTGAGGTGAGACCCAAGGTAAAGAAAATTTTCAGTCAACGTTTAGTTAAGCCATTGATGTTGGCAAAATTATATACTTCTGTAAAAAGTTCTACACGCTTTTCACGCATTGAGACTAAAATTTTTGTCCTTCAAAACAGAACTTCTCTAAATGTCTAGTTTGTTTGATAAACTTTTTCAAGTGCTTCCTTTTCTGACCAGTCCTTGTCCTTCAATCCAAGTTGTCGTCCCATTTCAAGAACATCCTTGGCAATTGCGAAAGCCACGTCAACGTCGCCTGGGTATTTTGAGTGAAGAAGCAACGCCAAGTTGGTTTTAATCCAAACCTTCCATTTATGGTTTCCTTCGATAGTGTTGTCAGCAACCTCGCTTCCTTTCTCGTACGTTTTCCGAGATTCTTTAAACATTTCTCTCCTCTCGAAGCAGATTCCCATTTTATTGTACGTGGGTATTGCCTCTTTGTGCTCTGCTACACCCAAACGTTTCATAATGTCAATTGCTTTCATGTAGTTTTCCTCTGCCAAAGGTAGATCCTTAAAGGACAGGTAATAATCTGCGACAATTTTATGGGTGAATGCAGTCAAAATATGATCTCCATAATGGGCTTGGTGAAACTCCAGAGCTTGTCAATAGCATTTATGTGCCTCATCCTTCCTTCCTTGGTGTTTTGCAATATGTCCCAATTGTGCAAGAATTGCCCCCTTGTCAGATATCACCTCAGAGGTTTCTTTTTCATACGATTCGCAAATACTTAGTGCTTTTCTGAAATAATCTTGTGCTTCATCTATTTGGCCACAATCCTGTGATAGATATCTGCCATAATGGCGGCGATAAATCACCTCTGACGGGACGCTTTTTTCGAAAGCTGGCCGATTTTCTTCGAATAGCTTAGAAGCTATGTCCATCAAGCCTTTTGCATACATCTTGGCACAACCTTGTTTCCTTCCTTCGTAATGCTGGAAGCACAAAATTTCCACTTCGTGCACTGTGTCATTTTCCTTTTGAACATAACGTAAAAGCCCGTTCAGAAAATCTTTATTCAATTTGACTGGAACACAGAATTCTACGTAAGGTGCAACTTTCCTGCAACCACTTACAGCATCTTGCAGAGCTTTACAGTTCTGTATCTTCTCGTCACTGACATCTCTAAGCAGGGATTCATAGTTAAGCCTCTCTTCATTAAAAAGATCAAACGAGGCTTTACATTTATCTTTACGCATGTACATTTCTGCATTTTCCGAAATCATAGCCAAAAAGTGCTCATCAAATGGTTGTTGGCCATGATTCAAAATATCCGGAAATTTCTCTGCTCCTATCGTTCTAGCGTAACTTCTGAGAAGCAAGTGAAGGAAGTATCGATCGCCTTGTTTTTGAATAAAGCATCTTTTCCTCAACTTCATTAAGTGTTCAATGCAATTGTCGCCAAGTAGTGCCCTTGCTGCTTTTTTTTCGAAAGATCGGCCAAAAATAGACAGACGAATTAATGAATGCCGCAAAGGTTCGCTTAATTTCTCAAAGGCAATTTCCATTATAGCTTCGCACTCAAGTGTGCGTGTAGGGTGCTTTTCTAGATCGTCTACTAACTCGTCAACAGAGTACTCGGAATCTGAAGAAAGAAGCGGGCTTGCTAGACAAAGCGCCATCGGAATGTACTCGCAAAGCTTTGCTACCCTACTCAAATCCTCTCCTGAGACATCAGAGTCCCCTTGCAGACGACCAACTCCAATTAAGACTTGAATGCTATCCTCCTCACTCAAAGGATTTACTGTGACCTTCTCAACATTCAAAACTTGTCCGGTGCTCTCAATGTCTGTACGTCTTGAGGTAATTATGAATTTGATTTTTCCCTTTGAACACGTTCTCATTTCGGTTAACAATTGAATGAGCGAATTGTTAAAACTGACTTCCATGGCATCTTCTGCATTGTCAAGCACAAGAACCAGGTCTTGCTTAAGCCCCCTACACCAGTTGAGCAAAACATGTTTGGGATATTCATGAGCCGGTTGATAYCCTGGTTGACACTTGCTTAAAATCTCCCTCAACACCCTTTCTCCTTCATCATCCTTGGTGTCACGCCCATTTTTGGTGGGATGCATGTCTCTTAAAGAGCAAAACTTAACGATTCTAGCGAAATCGTCTTTGAGTATATGACCGGCTTGAATGGAAACAGTAGACTTCCCAACCCCTGGTATTCCGCTGACTAGGACTCCTTCCACGTCTTTGTTGCTATCATCTGTGAGGAGTTTTACAATCCTATGGAGCTCATCCGTGTGGCCGTGAACATTGCCTGGCACTTTAGGCAGCTCACTTTCCAGCATGGTCCCTGGGATATCAAATGAGATCCGCAAATTCAATTTGTCATTTGAAATATCCCCGTCAATCTTAAACAACAAGACCATTTTATTACTTTTTCCACTAAGACAAGACAACAACAGTTTCGGGATTAAAAAGGCCAAATAAACCGCATGCAAGCTGGAGTCTAATGGATATTTAGCCTGGGAAATAAATCTTGACTGAAGCTGGTCAAGCTAGCTCACGAGTAACTAAGAAGTAAATCATAAATTTCAAATAGGTAGAAAGAGAGAGGCACATGATAAAAATTGGCAGAAGTCAAATTATTGAAACAAACCTTTGTCTCTACTTGTATCATCCTGGTTCTTTTTCATCTCAGACACTGTAACGAAGGTTTCATCGAGCCTTTCTTTAAGTCCATGAAACTCCTGACCCATCTCATCAAATTTATCTGAAAAACAGGTCATCAGCATCACCAAATTCAAAGTAGTCTCCTGAAAAATTCCACTGTAAAAGAGAGTTCAATCTATAAAGTTAATGGTACATGGGATAATTGCATCAACACCAGCAGAACAGGCTGGAACAGTTTACAACATCAGAGCATAACTTCGATCCATGCCAAAAACACATGAAACTGGGGTCCACTGGAGAGCTATTTGGTAGGGAATATTTTAAAAATCCACTAAAAGGTTGTAATCCTTGATTTTCACATCCCTAAATCTAATATCAAGGAACATAAATAACGACGACCTACCTTCAAGGTTTTTAATTTTTTCCCTCAGTTCTTCATCGTCCTTGATCATCTTCTTTACAAGCTCTGTGTACCTTTTTTCAGCGTCTGGATCCATACATTCAGTCTTCAAGGCATCAATATCAGTCTTATTTCCACCGAGTCTCACAATGGCATCTCGGATGTCATTCCAGATGGTGAGAAATGTCGTATCATCAATTCGAGCTTTTTCTGCATGAGCATACGCGTTGTTTCTATAATACTTTATTCTGACAATATCAGCCTCAGGACTTGTATCTGATGAATAGGGAAGATCATCCCAGCCCGTTGATGGAGTTTTTAAGTTACAAATGTTCCTCAGAAGAATACTCAAAAGGGTTGTGTCAAAATCGCTTGATGATACCGTTGGTATAGGAGCTGATCCTGGAGCTGTGGTTTGGTACAATTTTTTCAACTGCGAAGAATTTACTACCTTTGGCTTGCCAGACTTGCCAGTGTACAATGAACGAAGGTCATCTCTAGTTTTGGGTGTAGCCAGAACTAAAGAAAGGGTGCTTGGTGGGTGAATGCTGTCAAATTTGTTTCTCAGAGCCCAGGTACCAAAATCCACCAGAAGACGACAGATTCTTGCATAGTTTGTTGTCTCTTTGGTGGATGTTGCTGAAGGGGTTGTCATTTCCAATACAGCTTCTTCTTCAAAGGCACTAAGACATAAAGAGTTTTTGTGGACAATTATTGATAAGTACATGTGACAACAACAACACCAATCTTAAAAGATGAGTTTAGATCATTCCCTATTCAAATAATCGTTGCATTTCGAATATGCCACATTGCAATTCCACAAGAGCACATAAATACCCTCATATTAGGTCTAGTAAAATCTTGGGGATCATGATTTTAAGAAAGATTACATACAAGCAAAGAGATTTAAAATAAATAGCAGTTTTTAGACTTAATATCAATTGTTCATTGGTCTGTCCAATAAAAATAACACCTTTAAAGTGCCCCTAAACCCCAAAATATTTTTTCGCTTAACGAAATAAGCTCATTTTTTGGAGTATTTCTGTGCAAATATTTTTTAATCAGCTCAAATCTTCAATTTTCTGTACCCAGTCAAAATACGGAAAATCGGCCGCCATCTTGCCCCACGACCGAGTTTAAAAAAGGAATGGCTCTAGCGGGTAATGTGACTTTAAATCGAGAACACGAAAGTCTGCATTTCAGGCATTTTCACTTGTTTGGGAAGTTTGTCGTTGATATTGTCCAAAATATGCCGACTAGGTGTGTTGCATGAGGAATGTAGGAAGCGCGATACCCTCTTGCAAATTTCGCACGTTGCTACATCCATCTACAACACACTTGGTCGGCCTATTTTCGGACAATATCGACTACGACCTTCCCAGACAAGTGAAAATGTGTGAAATGCAGACTTTCGTGTTCTCGATTTGACGTCACATTACCCGCTAGAGCCATTTTCACTGGACACAGAAAATTGAAGATTTGAGCAAGTAAAAAAATTTTTGCACAGAAATACTCCAAAAAATACGCTTATTTCGTTATGTGAAAAAAAAAATTGTTGGTTTAGGTGCACTTGATGCTTCATTCTGTAATAAGTGTTTGAAACCATAACTTTCTTGTTGATGAACAAAATTCATCCTCAGATACCCAGGGGCTGTGAGTCGATTTCAAGTTAGGGTAGAAGAGCCCCTGGGGACATTGTCTTGCAAGACTTGTTCCAAACGGTCGCAGTCGTTCTGGCATCTGATTGGTGCCAGAAAATCTTTGTGTTTTTCTGCCCAATCAGAGTGAAGTGTGCTTTGGAGTCCTTTCGTGTGTTTTACTACGGACATATACAAGAAGCTTAGTTGCTCACCATGTTTGTTTGGGCCGTGCGACGAAGGGGGTGCTATAATGCGAGCCTGCGAGCCC